ACATGTGTGTATTAGTTTGTGTTTGTATGTGTGTGCTTGTGTATCTGCGTGTGTACCCTTATGTATATATCTACAACGATCAAATCTTCATCAGTTTAGTAAGAAGTTATTCGTCTCTGCGCTTGATATGCCAATGAAACTGTTTAAAGCTTTAGCCAATGCAGACCACCGCCATTTTTCTCCCCCCCCCCCCTTGGCGCAGCAATGACTTGTCTTCCTCGTTGCAAATTGCAGTGACATTCCTCGTGGATTTTAACTAACGAAAATAAACAACTAAATCGATCAAAGATAAGACGAAGACAGTCAAACAAACAAGACGATTAAACAAACAACTAAGATAAACACAAAATATCAAACAAACAACTAAGATAAACAAACAAACAATCAAAACAAGAAACAATTAAAACAAAGAAACAAACAATTAAAACATTAAAATAAACAAAAAAAAACTATTAAACAAACAAACTAAAGCAAACAAACAAACAACTAAAAGCAATAAAAACAAACAATTAAAACAAACAAAGGACTAATACCATTCAAAACAACCAAAACAAACAGCTAAAAGCATTAACAGTGACAAACAACTAAAACAAACTAACACTATCTAAAACACACAAACAAAACAACAAAAACAAAGCAACCAAACATCTAAACCATTCAGAACAAACAAAAAAGCCCCCCCAAAAGGAAAACAAACAAAAAAACAACAAACAAACAAACAACAACACCCCCATGGTCGAGACTCCTACCTGGGCACCACGTGACCTTGGCTCGAAACTAACTTGAATCACAGGTTGACCTTCCGGTGCTACTGGGTAGGGGTAGGGGTGTGGGGTGGAGGGCAGGGGGTGGAGGGCAGGGTGTGGGGTGGAGGGTAGGGGGTAGGGGGGTTGGAAGAAAATGGGAGGCGGGTGGGGAAGGAGGGGAGGGGGAGGGGAGGGGGGAGGGAGGGAGGGAGGGGTAGGAAGGGAAAAGGTGGGGAGTAGGAAGGAGGGGGAGGGGAGAGGGAGGGATAGGAAGGGAAGACCGTGGGGAGTGGGAGGGTGGGAAGGGAGTGGAGGGAGGGAAGGAGGGCGGACGGGAAGGGAGTGGAATGTGGAAGGGAATGAGGGGACGGGAGTGGAGGGAAGGAATGAATGTTAGGGAGGGGGAGGGATGGGATGGGAAGGAGGAGAGGGATGGGTAAGGGGAGTGGAGGGAGGGAAGGAAGAGTGGGAAGGAGGGAAAGAATGCCGGGGTGGGGAGGGAAGGACGGGTGGGGAGGAGGGAAGGGACTGGTGGAGATGGGGAAGTAAAAGAAGGAAGTAGAGGAGAGGACAATAGTGGATAGGAAAAGAGAGAATTATAGGAAGGAATGGGAAAGAAGGGAATAGTAAGAATAGAAGGAGATAACAGCGAGGACGGAGTAATAAATGGTGGGTAAGGAAAAGAAGCAAGAGGGATGTGAGAAGAAAGGAGAGGGGGAAAGCGAAAGAGGAGGAGGGAGAGGGGAAGAATGAAAGAAAGGAGGGAAAACAGAGGAAGAGGAAGAGGGGAAGAATGAAAGAAAGGAGGGAAAACAGAGGAGGAATGGGGGAAGAATGAAAGAAAGGAGGGAAAACAGAGGAGGAGGAAGAGGGGAAGAATGAAAGAAAGGAGGGAAAACAGAGGAGGAGGGAGAGGGGAAGAATGAAAGAAAGGAGGGAAAACAGAGGAGGAGGAAGAGGGGAAGAATGAAAGAAAGGAGGGAGAACAAAATGGTGGGTTAGGGAGAGGGAAGAAAATGGTTTGGAATGGGGGGGTAAGGGAGGGGAGAAACTATCAGGAAGGGTGAGAGTGGGGAGGGAGGAGAAGAGAAAAAAAAGAGGTGGAGGGAGGGAGAGATGAGAGAAAGGAGGTGGAAGGAGGGCGGTGGAGGGAGGGGATATGAGAGAGAGGAGGGAGAGGGAGGGAAGCGGAGGGAGAAGAGTAAAAAAGAGGTGAGGGAGGGTGAGATGAGAGAAAGGAGGGAAAGGGAGGGAAGTGGAGGGAGGGGAGATGAGAGAAAGGAGGGAGAGGGAGGGAAGTGGAGGGAGGGGAGATGAGAGAGAGGAGGGAGAGGGAGGGAAGTGGAGGGAGGGAGGTACAGGAAGGGAAGTGGAGGGGTTGAGGAAGGAGACTAATAAGGGAAGGAGAAGGCTTGCTTGCACGAGTAGGGGGGGCATGGAGGATTAGGAGGGGGGAGGGTACAAGGAGGGGGGAGAGAGAGGAAGAGGAATAGGAAAGGAAAAGCGAAAGAGGATAATAAGGAGGAAGGGAAGAACAGGATAAGAATAAAAGAACGAGGGTGAATGAAAAGAGGACGGAATGGTAGATAGAAAGAGAATAAGATAAAGAAGAGAGAGGGAGGAAGTGGTTAAGACGAAGATAATAGAGGAGGAACGCAAGAAGAAAGACATTATGAAAAAATAAAGAGGAGAAGAGGAGGGCAGAGATAGATGAGAGAGAGAGAAAGAAGAGGAAGAGAGAGAGGCGGAGATAAATGAGAGGAAGACGAGGAAGGGAAAAGAATAAGGTATTGAAGAGAGAACGGCAAAGAAGGACAAATTGAAGAAGGGGAAAAAGGAAGAGGAAGAAGATAGAAGAGATATTGAGGAGGTTGAGGAGGAGGAAGAGGAGGAGGGGAGGGAGAAGGAGTATGAAGGGGAGGGAGAGGAGAGAGGACATGAACTGGAGGAGGAGAAAGAGAAAAAAGGAAGAGAAGGAGGAGGAGAAAAGAAGAAGAAGAAGAGGAGGAGAATGAAGAGAGAGGGAAGGGGAGAAGGATGAAATGAAGAAAAAGAAGGAGAAGGAGGAGGAATCACAGAGGGCAATGGAGGACAGTAGTAGTAGTAGTAGCAGCAGCAGTAATAGTAGTAGTAGGAGGAGTATGAGTATGAGGAAGAGGAAGAGGAAAATGAGGAAGGAGAAGGGCGGAATGAGGAAGAGCGAAATCTCCTGTTGCCCGGGGGAAGGAGGAGGAAAGGAAGGAACAGAATGGAGATAAGAAAGGAGGATGAGGAAGCGAAGACGGGAAGCAGAGAGAAAAACAGAAAAAAAAAATCCACCAAAGAAAAAAAAAAAAAAAAAAAAAAAAAATAAAAATAGAATAAATATAAAAGAACAAACAAATAAGTAAAACCAGATAAATAAGACATAAATAAAGCCGACGGGTTTAATTAAGACAACGCGCGCGGGGGGAGGGGGAAGGGGGAAGGGGAAGGGGAAGGGGGAAGGGGAGGGGAGGGAGGGGGGAGGGAGGGAGGGAGGAGGGAGGGAACGCAGACGGCGACTCGGGAGATACAGGAACTGGGGCCGTGACAGGCAGGAAAGGTATGTTTCTCGCCGCAGGTCAGGAGTGCCCAGGGCTGCACCTGCCGTTCCTCTAGATTAGTGAGGGAGAAAGATGGCGCTGATATAGTCTCTCTCTCTCTCTCTCTGTCTCTGTCTCTGTCTCTGTCTCTCTGTCTCTCTCTCTCTCTCTCTCTCTCTCTCTCTCTCTCTCTCTCTCTCTCTCTCTCTCTCTCTCTCTCTCTCTCTCTCTCTCTCTCTCTCTCTCTCTCTCTGTCTCTGTCTCTCTCTCGCTCTCTGTCTGTTGGTCTGTTTTTCCTATTGCCTTTGTCTGTCTGTCTTTCTTTCTCTTTCTCTTCCTTCTTCTCTCCTTCTCTCTCGCTATTTCTCTTTCTTTTCCTTCTTCCCTCTCTCTCTCTCTCTCTCTCTCTCTCTCTCTCTCTCTCTCTCTCTCTCTCTCTCTCTCTCTCTCTCTCTCTCTCTCTCTCACGAGCTTGCTCTTTAGCTCTCTATCTGTTTTAGTGTGTGTGTGTGTGTGTGTGTGTGTGTGTGTATGTGTGTGCGTGTGAGCGAGTGAGTGTGCGAGTTAGAGAGAGTGTGTGTGCGTGTGCGTGTGAGCGAGTGAGTGTGCGTTTATTAATGTGAGTGTGTGAGTGAGAGTGAGTGAGTGTGTGAGAGTGTGAACGAGTGAGTGAGTGTGCGTTTATTAAAGTGAGTGTGCGTTTATTAAAGTGAGTGTGAGTGAGCGTGTGAGTGAGTGTATGAGAGTGTGAGTGTGAGTGTGAGTATGTGTGTGAGAGTGAGTATGTGTGTGCGTGTGCCTCTCGATCGAACGCCGAATGACCTCGCGTTTGAATGAATATACAGCCGAGTCACTCCTCTACAACCCGGAAACATAAACACTTTCGTTGGGAAGATGAAAAAAAGACACAATGAATTGTTCTTACATAATTAGCGACGTTTCTCTTTATCGTTTAGCTTCTGTATATCTTTCTTTCCTTTTGTTTCGAGCCGAGTAAAAGTCTTGACTTTTTGTGACCGGGGTCTATTAACGTTTAATTATGTTGCATTATTTCCCGGAATAGCAATATATTGTGCACTATAAGACATTAAATCATTTAACAGATTGCAAGAAAAGACACACGAATCTGTTTCACATTGCCGTGTAAAGATTGTTTAAATGACTATATATTTCGTTTAATATTTTTCAAGAACCCATGATCAGAATCCGTGACTTTCCCGAAAGTTATTGGCGATGAAATTACAAGATTCCTCTAACCCGGGAAGGTCGAGGCAAGCACGGAGGGTTTCCCAGCCATTACGGAAGTGACTCCAGACGTCGAGGGTTTGGTGTACTTCCTCCTACAACAACAGTACTGCAGCTGGGACGCCATTGGCTCGTAGGCTTTTCCGTTTCTTTGCGATGGCTTGGGCTTCGACGCGACAGGACGACCATCTTGAAGAGGTTGTTCGTTCCGGTTCTGATCGTATTCGCGTCCTTCTGGATTCGCTCAGGCGTGTAATATAGTCTCTAAAGCGAGTCGTTTTAAGCTTATCTTTTCTCTCGATTCGCGGGCCACGGTCGACGTAAACAAGTAAACAAGAATGTCGCAAAGGGAGGGAGGAGGGGAGGGGGGAGGGAGGGGGAAAACCCACGAGCGGGCGGATGCAGCGGGGACGAGGCGGCAGCGCCCAGCCCCACCGGCGGGCACACTTAAAAGTAGTTGGGGATGGCGAGGACGAGGCAGTGTGAGCTTAGCCGTCGTCAGGACTCGGAGTGTGATTAGCCCGCGTGCGTGTAGTGTGTAGAATACCATGGCTGCCTCTTCCTCTTGTCTCTTCGTCGCCCTCGCCCTCTGCCTCGTCGGGTCGTCGTGGGGGGAGGTGCACGAGATCCCCGTCAGGAGCTGTGATGGTACGGCATTGTGTGTTAATGGTTGTTTCATGGTTGCGTCGTCGTATTCTAAACTCGTTAACGGGCTTGTTTCTGAGCGTCTTCCTATTGTGTCTGTATGTTGATTTAGATTTAGGTTACTATGTGTTAATATAGGATGTTAGGGCTTTGATTTATTATATATTATTATTATCCTGATGCTTTTTGTATTTGAATAATTTCGGTTTATTATTTATTGCTTTTATAGTTCATGAATTATCAGAAATCGAAACGTATTCAAAGTCAGGCTGTACATGAAGAAATAACTAAGACTGTATTACATATTGCATTAGGAACCAGAATGATAATCAGCTCCCCCTAATGACACGGTGGTCCCGTTATCGTAGTACTACCTGTTGTATGAATTTATGAATGGTGTCGTATGGCCGATAGAGGGCTGATATGCTAGTAAATTGATGGTTTAACAGAAGAGAATGTTTGTTTTGAAATATCACTAATAATACCAAGCTTTTGTTAAGGATTATATATATATATATATATATATATATATATATATATATATATATATATACACATATATATACAAGTGTGTGTGTGTGTGTGTGTGTGTGTGTGTGTGTGTGTGTGTGTGTGTGTGTGTGTGTGTGTGTGTGTGTGTGTGTGTGTGTGTTATATACAGAATAGATAGATATAGATATATATTGCACTGGAGATACAAAAAGTTCATGCAAGTCATACAGCGGTATTTATACAGTCAGCTTGAAGGCAATACTTATTTGTTACCATGAAAATGTCCTACACATAATTAGTCAAAATTGCAATAGCTAAGGGGTCTTGCTAGCAGTGTTGAAACACATGTGCTCAATTTCAAGTATTACAAGTATTAAAGTTAGTATATAATGCCTGTTATATTTTCCTACAGAAGAATGTGCGTTTTCTCGCAAATTCGCTACAATGCATATAGAATCTCCAATGCTTTTATTATAGCTAGTTGCATTCGATAGCCTAGAGAATGAGATACAGAGCATATAGAATCTCCAATGAGAAATTTGATTCACCAATAGCATCCGTCTGCATTCGAGAGAGAGAGAGAGAGAGAGAGAGAGAGAGAGAGAGAGAGAGAGAGAGAGAGAGAGAGAGGATATTAAGAGATTGTAAGAGAGAGAGAGAGAGAGAGACCAGTTATTATTCCGTAGCTACAAGTAGTCACACCAGTGTATACAATTACGACTTGTATAATGTACAATCACATACATAATCACTTAATGACTTGACTTTCTCTCTTTTAGTTCTTTAATGACAAGAATAATTTCCTCACAGGAGCCACAGCGCCAAGCAGCCTGAAGATGGAATGCACACAGTATCTCCGTGGGACTTGCATACTCGAGAAAGGGCAAACATACAACCTCACAGCTGAGTTCACGCCAGGTGAGTGAAGACGCGACCTTTTTTGTGAGTGACCTCGTGCTGTGAATTTTTCGGAGTGGGTGTTTTTGGTAGTAGCTGTTATTATTATTATTATTAGTAGTAGTAGTAGTAGTAGTAGTAGTAGTAGTAGTAGTGATGTTATTGTCATTATTGATTGATGTTATTGTTGATATTATTATTATATTATTATTAACTTATTGATGTTATTTGCATTATTGATACATTATTATTATTTTTATTATTATTATTATTGTTATTTTATTTATTATTATGATGATGATTATTTTAGGGGAAAGGGGATTAATCTTTCTCTAATCGTAAATTGTCATTTTATTATGTAAAGTGACACTTGACACTTCTTGGGATGTGAGGGACCTTTCTGTGGGTAGTCTTTGTAATAACAAATTTTCTCTAAGTGGCTTTTGGAAGGCAAAGGACATTCGGAATGTGTTACAGTAGGAATGCAAATTACTTATTTATTTATTTTCTGAAATTGATCTTTGAAATATGAGTGCGATTTCAGAGTGTATTTTCGGAATGTTAGCGGTTTTTGTTTCATATTATGACCTCTCTTTAAGTCAAGTATATCACGTGATTTTAATTCTGTTGACCTCTCTGTGAGTAAAGTATAGCAAGTGATTTTATTTCTGTGCCTGATGCCCGGGATATGAATGATCTTTCCTGTCACTAACCTTCGGATTGTAAATTAGCTTTCTGTTAGTGATAACCATCCTTGTGATTGTGATTGTGAAGTTGGTTGCGTATTGTGACGGTTATGTGGATACATTATTATTTTTAGTGACGTAAATCGTGAATCTTTTGAAAAATTCCGTTACGATGAAGTACTGGGAAGTGTATAAAAGTGTTTTAAATAAGTAATGTATCATAAATCATTTACAAACATTTTTTGAAGTAGCAATATCCAGTTTAATATTCACCTTTAAGATATAAAACCATCAAACGTAACAAAAATAGAAGCAACAAGAGCATCATTGATTAATATAACTACATAGCATCCCTCCCCCCGAAAAAAATAGAGACGACAAGAGGCTCATTAATTAATGCAACACGATCTAAAATAATAATAATAATTAATAATAATATTAAATAATAATAATAAAATAAGTAAATAAAAAATAAATAAATGATTTCAAACATGTCGAGACAAGTACAAGAAATCTTTAATAATCAGAACGAGGACCCGATATTCTCAGAACGAAATTATATGAATAAATCCTCAACTTCCATATGACTATAAGAAAAAAACAAAACCCCACTGTCCGACGACACTACAACAATAATTACAACTATTATTACAACAATACCTCCCTACCCACCAACCCCCCCCCTCAGTAATTCCTACAACCACAGCAAAACAACAAAAGAAAACAACATAAAGCTTAGACATTAATCTCATTACCATCAACAACAGTCACCAACTCTATCACAATCACAACACAAAGAAATGCCATTATCCCCAACCCTGCTTCAATAACTTATGGCATTAATCCCATTTAATTCCATTAATTTGAATAACAAGAAAAAAAAGATAACTTGTTATACCATTATCCTCATAAAACTAAACCCACAAAAGAACTGAAATCCGCAACCCCCTCATTAAATCTCCCCAGACCCCATTATTCTCGTAAGCTAAATGAAAAAGGGACCCATTATCCTAACAAAATAAAAGAACGAAACCCACTCACACCTCATTATTCTCAGTCAAACCCCATCATTTTCCTCATAGACTTCAACCCACCCACACGGACCTCAACCAACCCCTACCATTTTCCTTACAGCTTTCAATCCTCCTACACTTCATTAACCTCAACCAAACCACCATTTTTCTCATATTCACCCCACCCAAACCCATTAACCTCATTACCCTCAACCAACCCCCACCATTTTCCTCACGGCTTTCAACCCACCCAAATCCATTATCCCCATCCAAACCCCAGTTTTCCCTCACAGACTTAACCCCCAACCCACACAAACTCAAAACCTCACCTACCCACCATTTCCCTCACAGACTTACCCCCCCCCCATCCACAAACCTCATTACCCACAACCAACCCACCATTTCCCTCTCAGACTTCACCCAACCCACCCAAACCCATTAAACCTCACCGAACTCCCCACTATTACCCCCACAGACTTCACCCACCCCTACAAACTCACAAAACCTCACCCAATCCCCACTATCCCCCCACAGACTTCACCCCCCCACCCAAACCCATTAAACCTCACCCAGCTCCCACCATTCCCCCCACAGACTTCACCCCCTCCCCCAACCCACCCAAACCCATTAAACCTCACCCAACCCCCACTATTACCCCACAGACTTCACCCCAACCACCCAAACCCATTAAAACCTCACCCAACCCCACAGACTTCACCCCAAAACCCCATTAAACCTCACCCAACCCCCCATTCCCCACAGACTTCACCCCCTCCCCCCACCCACCAAACCCATTAAACCCACCCAACCCCCACTATTACCCCCCATAGACTTCACCCCCTCCCCCAACCCACCCAAACCCATTAAACCCCACCCAACCCCCCACCATTTTCCCCCACAGACCGAAACCTCCGGGAGGTGAAGAGCCACGCAGCCTGGAAGACGTGGGTCGAGATGCCCCTGTACGGGCAGGAGAGCCAAGTCTGCAACGGCGTGTACCTGACCTGCCCTTTGCGCTCAGGTCAGCCAACGAGGTTCTCATACCCGTTCCACGTCCACGAGTTCCTGATGAGGGTGAGAATGGAGTTTTTTTGTGTTTTTTTTTGGTATTTTTGGTATTTTTGGATTATGGTTCTGTTTGTTTGTTTGTTTGTTTTATTGCGTTGTAGTTATTATAGGTTTGTGAGAATGGAGTTTTTTTTTTGGGGGGGGGTATTTTTGGGATTATGTTTTTGTTTGGTTTGTTTGTTTTATGCGTTGTGTTATTATAGGTTTGTTTGTTTTATATGTGTTTTTTTCAGGCATTTCGTTTCTGATTGTGTGATTGATTTCGATGCTTATGTATTTTTATTGTTTTATATGTGTAAAAAAACGCATATGAATAGAAAGAATATAGCTTTATTCTGTAAATCGTATGTACACACACACACACACACACACACACACACACACACACACACACACACACACACACACACACACACACACACACACACACACACACACACACACACACACACACACACACAAACGCAGACATACATAACGCTAAAAATAGACAGATAAAAAAAAAACTTTCCTTTTCCACCGTTATCTCAAAATCTGACAGGTTTTAGGAATAAACGAGATTGAAAAACAACAACAGGACGAAGGAATTAGGCTTAAAGGTCCTCACAAGGTTAACTAGGGACAAGTGAAGTGGTTTTTGTCAGGATAACAAGGGTGATTTGGTAGTAGTTTACACGGCGGCCGATAGAGGGCTCTTGTGTTGCTTGGGAATTCGATGCGGAAATAAGTTAAAATAGAAGAATTTCGGTTTAATAGAGATGTAGGCCTATGATGGCGGGTTTTTGCATGGAGTTTTGAAGGTTGATTAACGTAGGATAGAATTATGGTGATTTTAACGGTTATTAAAGAGATTTAATGGAATAATTAACGGTCCAGGAAGTTTTTCTTAGCAGGTACAGGTTTATGGCGTATTTTATGTGACGTATGCTTGGTTTTGTGTTATCTTCTCTCTTCCTTTCTGACTCCCTGTCTTCTTGTTTTGCTTTGTTTTTTCGTTCCGTTATGACCTCTTCCCGGTGTCTTTTAACGCCATTCTTATATTTTCTTTCTTTGTTCCGTGTTTTTTTCTCCCCTTTTTTACTTTTCGGTTTTTATTACCCGACCCCCCCCCCCCTCTCCCTTCTGCTACATCATCCCTCCTACTTCCTATTTAATCCGTTTTTCTCCCTCCTCCCTCCTTTTCTCACTTCCTCGTTTTTCTTCCTTCCCCCTCTCCTCCTCATTTCTTTCTCCCTCATTTTCTGCCTTGCCTCTCTTTTTCCCCCTCTCCTCTTCATTCCTCATTTCCTCGCCTCTCTTCCTCCTCCTTCCACCTCTCTTTCATTACCCATTTTTCATCTCCCAGCCCCTCACCGTTGACCCCCCCCCCCCACCCCACCTCCACCCCAACCCCTACTCCAACTTAGTCATGGCTCATTCCAATCTCACTCTCGTCCCATACGTACAATCTTACCTTGCCCTCTCCCCCCCCAAATACCCTTGCCCCCTTCCCCCAATACCCTTGTCCATCACTTACCCAAGCCCACGTTTGCCTACCCCAACTATCTACTCGTGTCCCTATACCCGTTCTCATCCCTTCCATTCTAACCTAGTGCCCAACCCCCCCCCCCCAATCTCACTCTCGTGCCCGTCTTCCCCCAATCTCACTCATACCCATTTCTATCTCGCTCTTCCCTCTTCCCTTCTCGAAAATATCTCCTCATTTTTTCCATTATTTTAATTATTTTTCTCTCTACAGCGGCGATACCCCGTCATCTGGCGACTGAGGGACGTGGACAGCGAAGACACAACGCTGTGTTTCGTCTTCAATGTTAAAATCTTGTAAGGAAAACACACAACACAACACCACACACACACACACACAACACAACACACACACACACACACACACACACACACACACACACACACACACACACACACACACACACACACACACACACACACACACACACATACACACACAAACACAGCATAAGAATGTTAACAAAATATAACCGGTGAGGAGAATAGAGCAGTCATTGCGAAGTCAAAGAAAAAGACAGAAAAAAGATAGATACAGCTCACGTTTTCGAGTAAAGAAAGAAGAATAGAGAGAAAACGAAGAAGAAAAATCGGGCATTCAAATACAGAAAGCAGCATAAAGACAAAAAAGTAAACGTCACTCTGCATTGCAACTTTTTTTTGTCGTGTCATTTCGAAATGTGTTTGAATTTAACATGATTAAAGAAACAAGAAACTAAGAAAATGAAAAAATAAATCAAAATAAGAAAATAAATACCGAAAAATGACTGACTAGTCTACGACATAAGATTCAAGCATTGAAGAGAAAAGAAAACAAGAAATGACAATATTGTGAAGACGAGAAGAAAACAAATGCTTCCCAAAACAAAAGACAGAAGCGAAGCGAACGTACAAATCATGCACAACGAACACATATTATTTATTAACCAAACCGGTGAGGAATTTACCGCCAAAGCATGGTATACGCCTGTAATTAAACTTGTATTTAATAAAACTAAAAGATGATTGGTTTGTTTTTATTTGTGACTACTTGTAGCTATGAAAAACTGCATTACTGAGAGTGCTAAGGACGTGTTATTTAATTCGAAATTTTGATAAACCTCGAAACTGCATGGAAGTGATTATCAGGCCTTTTAGGGTTCAAAGAAAATCCGAATGAATTGTTAATGTCAAGCTGATGTATAAGGGAATATGGAATAATGGTTAACTTTGCTTATCATATAATTACAGGTTACATGTTTAGTAAATGAGAAGGATCACAGAAGCAGAAAAAAGAAAATTAGGAAAACAAAGTCAAAATATCTAAAATAGTAATGATAACGACTAATAAAAATACCCGGCCTATATTTTGTCTTCTGGCTTTGATCAGTGTCCCTTCTCTTCATTGTTGGGAAAGTGATCACTATCACTTCCCCAACACCGAAAAAAACATTGTTTCCTGACCTTACCCACACGTTAAATAAGGATTAATTTGAACATGAACATTTGAACACAATAACGTCTAGACAAAAATGGAAAGGGAAGCAGCAAGGGCGGGTCCAGAGAATTTTCTGGAGGGGGGCGCAGGGGGTAACAACAAAAAATCTGGGGGGGGGGGGCGCTCAAGAGTAACAAAAAATA